ATGTACTGAACATGTACAGACATTTTTCCCTTGTTATTAATTCTCCAAACAATGCAGCACAGTAGGTATTTCTCTGGTGTTTAAATTAGTTACTATAGGAAACCTAGAGATGACTTAAAGTCTATAGGAGACTGTGCACAGATTCACATACCTACTACGCACTGCAGACTGCTGCCTGGAACATTCTGGTATCTGTGCTGGGGCAGGGGTACTTGAAACAAATCTCGAGGCTGATGTGGGATAAGTGTACTTCTCTGTGGGACCATCACTGCTTTAGATTCTTAGCTCAGTGACAGCACCATTGCTGCAAATGTACATGGCCTTCTGTGTGTCTTTTTTTTTTTTTTTTTTTTTTTTTGATAGTGCTTGGGAAGGAATCCAGGGCTTATACATACTAAGCATGTACTCTAGCACTGACCTCCACCCACATCCCCTACGAATGTTCCTCCCTGCCTCCCTTCTCAGCACTGGGGACTGAACCCAGGGCCTTCACACTGAGCCATATCCCTCTCCCTCTATGTGCTTTATCTGAGACAGGATCTTGTTAAATCATCCAAGTTGGGTTCAAACTTGCAATCCTCCTGTCTTAGCCTCCCACAGTGCTGCGATTAGAGGCAAATGCCACTGCAGCCAGCTCCTCCTGTTTCTTACATGGCTGCCCCTTTGATCCCCAACAGGACTGCACTTCTTCACAGCTTCAGAATGAACATTTCATTTCCTCAAAAGACGCGCAGAAAACCCCTGGTTTCTCAGCAGCCTTACCTTGAATAGGAGCACTCTGGAAACATCTGTACAACCAGGCAGCAAGGGCCTAACTATGGGGAAAGCCAGGATCTCTCAGATGCCCCCAGAAACCTTGCCTGCCCTCAGGAAAGACTCAATGATGAGACTGGGTAAGTGGCCCTGAGCTTTCAGCTGTGGGTCTTGCACTGGCAAGACATTGTGGCTCTTGCAGCTCCTGCACATCAAAGGGGCTGGAAGCTGGAAGCTCAGCTGTGATCCCAGCAGGCTCTCTGTACAAGGACACCCTCTCCAATCTGAGCAGCAATTCTTCACTCGCAAAGCCAGTGACCCTGCCCAGCAAGCAGTGCAAAATAGGACCTGATCTGCCAACACTGATCTTTAGGAACACCCAGTTTGTATACAGAACACCCTGTCATCCCTATTGCCCAGCACCAGATTCCGATGATGACAGCTACCGATAATGATGCTAGTGACTGCTAAGCACCACCAGAGCCAAGCCCACCCTCGCCTTGCCCTGCACACCCTCCAGTTACCAGTTAGGACACCCAAGGAAGCAGAGCCCATTCTGATCACAGGTACCCATGGGGACAGAAGTGTTTACTTTGGACCTCTTGGGGGAAGGTGGAGAGGAGATGTTAGGGAGGGAGCACCCAGAGAACAGAGCTACCACTCAAAACCTGCACAATGGTAAAGGGCACAGCACAGAAGCCTCTGGACCTTCAGCAGACCTGGAGCAAGAAGGAAGCAAAAGGGCACCTGACTCTCCCCTTTGTTTCCATCATCACTCTCATTCATGATGTTTCCAGAGCAAAGTACAAGTTTGTGCTGTTCCCAAAGGCCCTGCTGCCCCGACACACACAGTCTCCTAACTGGGGAGCTCCACCTGTGCTGGCTGCTGATGCACTAAAGCTCCGCTAGCACAAGGCAGCCTAGAAGAACAAAGGGCAAAGGCTGCTCTCAGTGTGGGCGAGTCTAAGTGGCCCACTGGATGGGAGCAAGGGCCTCTGACTGTGGAAGCTGCCCTCGCTGAGTTTCTCAAAAGAAGGGCAAAGCACTAGGAATGGGCTACCCTCAGCACTCCCTCATCCAGCTTGGGGTGAAGGCCAGCCGTGATATGTTTAATCCAGGTGAGGCCAGCTCTAGGGCAAAAAGCAGTTGGGATGGTTCCTGCCCATAGAGGATGAAGTCCTCGCCAACTGACGTCTGATGTCCTCCAGTTCCTGGACATGCAGACTCTAGGCCAGCCTTGTCTACACCCCTAGCAGCATCTCTTGGAAACCCACCTGCTGGCTCTTTCAAGTATTTTGTGAAGGTTAGCGTTGGCAGCTCCCGAACCACACAGTTTGCCAGCATCCTTCCCAAACATGCTTGGAGATGGGCAGGAACTTCCTGGCAGAGAGACAGGGGGTGGGGGGCCCTCTAGAAGCTGACAGGCCAGGTCTGAACACAACTCCCCTGTTGACTGCAATGTTGGCAGCTAAACTGACTTCTCTAAACCCCTTCATGCCTGCATGGGGCTTTAGTGAGGACTAAGAAAAAACACAGGAGGTTAAGTACACAGCTCAGGCCTGACTCAGCAGCAGAGCGAGCACCCAGCTCATATCATCTGCTGGTTCCAGTGTCACTGCAGCAACCTCCCACCACCACTCTTGCCCATGCCAGCTGCTGCAGTCCTTTCTGAAAGGAAGGCAGGAATCCTTTGGGACCGGACCCTGCTGGAAGCCCCAGTGTTCCCCGTAGCACTCTGGCCCAGCCCTTGCTCCTGGGGCCTCAGGTGTCCCACCTGGACACCCTGGCCTGCCCTAACTTTAAGATTCACCCTGGAGGTCCCGTAGACTTTCCTGAGGCCTGCTTCACCTCTGGCCTAGCTCAAGCTGTCTCCTCTGCCTGGAGTGCTGCTCCCCACCATAGAGCACACCCCAGAACTTCTCGTGGCCCCTGGATGAAGGCCTCTCCTGTACAAAGCTACCCCTGGCTCCTCTGGATCTTATTTATTTATTTATTTTTTTTTTTGTCTTTTTCCTTTTTATGGGTACCAGGGATCGAACTCACGGCTGCCTGCTTGCAAGGCAGGTGCTTATGCCGCTGAGCTAAACCTCCAGCCCCGCTCCTCTGGATCTTGATCCTCCTGTCTCTGCCATCGCTCGGGGCAGAATGTCCCCTCACATCCAACATTTGTTTACGTCCTATCTCTGCTGCTCAGGATGATGCCCTCTCAGGCCTCTGCTCCCTTAGCAATGGCCTGAGCCACCTGGAGGCCCAGCTCATTCCTAACCAAAAGCCTGCATCCAGCTCGCACAGCGTCCCCTCAGTGCAGGAGCATCACGCCAAGGACTGAACCCAGGCCTTCCCTGCATTCACAATTAAGCTTTACTAGCACTTGGCAGTGTTAATCTTGCCTTCCCCACCAGGTGGCAACTGTCTCAAGGGCTAACAGCTGCTGTTGACAAACAGAACTCAACCGTACACAAATTTCTAGGCCAAAGGGACCAGAGAGGTTTAAGCGCCATCAGGAAAACTACTGCTGAAAACTGAGCTCTTGGTCCCGTGCCCAAACACTGCACTTGAACTTCTACCCTTGCAAAGAAGAAACATACACAGATCCATTTCCCACTCAGCCTCTAAACTTAAACATTCTTCACCTAATGAGCACAAACCCACTAGACCAGGTGTTTCTCTACACCAAACAGTTCACTGACATTCTTCAAATTCTTGTGCTAAACAGTAAGCAACCACAAATCACTCCTCTTCATTTATTTCCAGCTGCTGCCAGGCTCCTGATAGCCTCTTGCGAGCCCCAGGGCCTTTCTTTCTCCCTGGCCTTTCCCCCTAGCTTTCTAAAAGCAGCCTCCTCTAACCCCACCACCTTCCCCATCAGACTTTCTCTGCTTTCTGACTCTGCACTTCATGTCCAACAGTTCTTCCTCCCCACTAGCCCTCCAGTCCTTTCTCAAGCCTCCTATTCCCACAGCCTCCCCTGACCTTTTCAGGACCCTTCTTTGCAGTGCTCTCTCCTACTCCTTTCCAAATCCTTCCATCATCTCTGCCCAGGGCCTCAAGCCTCTTCCAGTCCTACCAAATCCCTAAGGCCCAGAACGTTCCCATTCCCTGTCACTCCTCTCTTCCCATCAAACACAGGCTTCCTGGTCTCTTCCTTCTGTGACCCCTTTGTGGACTTTCCCACCTTGGTCTCTCCATCAGCTCCTCACATGCCACCAAGTTTCATTCCTTCTGGTTAGTGTCAATATCAGAGCTTTAACCACATACCAAGCTCAATTCTAAGCACCTCACACATAAGGAAACCTCTAAAGTCGGTTTTACCAATGATCTCCTTTACCTTGGAAATTGTACAACTTATCCAAGATCGTGAACAAATGGCAGTCACCTTTTAAAATCTAGGCTTTTGATATTCCCAAGCGACTATAACTCTCATAGAACAGTCAGCTTTTATGAACTGACAGGAAATTTATGTGAAACATCTCCGAACTCCCTTCAGGCCCTTTTCTAAAACATACCAGTCACTCCTTCAGACTTGAGGGCCACACAACAGGCACTGACACCTTTACTCATTTTTGCCTTTCATGGCTCCTTTTCCCTGGCTAAGCCAAAATCACGTTTCCAACTCCCCGCCCAAGCACCCACAGTCCTAACCCCATGTCATGTGCTCAGGTCTCCTGAACTAATCACTTAACCAGATCCGCACTATCCCGAGCACCCGCACACAGACCCGGGCTCACTATTCTCAACCCAAACCGAAGTGCCTAATGTCAGATTCCTTCGCCCTCATCCTCTTCACTTTGAGACCATACCAACCCATTGCCTCGCAAAGCTGGAACTGCAGGCGCCTGCCTTCAAGCCCGGTCTGAGGCACCTTTCAAACTGCGTCCCCTACACTCCAAAGGCTTCTGCATCTGTAGCTCTCCCAGTTTTCTTAGCCTCTCGGCCTGGCCCCGCTTGAGTACTCAGATCCTCTTGCCTCGGTCCAGTTCTCCTCCAGCCCCCTGGCCCGTCTGCAGCCTGGGTCCCCCTCCCTGCCTCAAGATGGTGTCGCCTAAGCCTCTGCGTCTTCTGCCTAGGCGCCCTGCGCCGTCTCTGCCGGCCTTCGGCCTGCGTGTGCTCCGCTGCCTTAGGCCCCGTCACTTCCTTGCGGAATCGTCTGTCCCCTCGGCCCGAACGCTGGTGCCCAGCCCGCCACCTCGGGCAGAGGATCCTGCGTCCTCTCAGCCCAGATCCCGGCCCCCTCCGCTGGTTCTCACCCGAATAGGCCAGAGAAGAAGGACTGCGAGTTCTTCACTTTACGCTCCGCCTCGGCCAGCAGGGCCACTGCCTCCGCTTCCTTCCTAGAGTTGTCCATGTCGGCCGCAAAACTTCTCAGCAAACCGCCCGACTGGGTACTGAAGGACTCCGCTGCGGCCCTGCGGCGGTACACAGGCCAAAGAGCTCAGCGGGCTACGTAGACGTCGCACCGGCGCGCGCCGCCTGCGGCCAGAGCCCACTTGACTCCCACCAGCCAACCAGCAACCTCGTAGTGCGATCTGTCGCCCCCCCCCACACACCAAGGGCCACGCCCCCCCTCCCCGCACGCTGCCCTATGACTCTCAAGCTCCGAACGGCTTCGCGAGACATCGACGCATGCGCATACTCCTGAAGGAGGCAGGACATTCTCTTCCTAGCATTTGGGGGAGGGGGGCAAGACAAAGTCCACGTGACTGTGCACAAGCCAATCCTAATCCTCATAGCCAAGAAGCTGTCCCTAAAGTGCGGCCTCTGATTCTTCCTCGCCAATGATCAGGATCCATTGGCTCGGTCAGCCCTTCTTCGCAGAATTTGGGACTGGTCAGCTGACCACTGACGCTCACGTGACAGCACTCGGTTCACGGCCAGTTTGACAGTTCTCTTGCGCGTAGTCCCGCCTCTGCACTTTGTGTTCTTCACGTCTTCCCTCGGAAAGGCCTAGGTGATGAAAAAGAAATGTTCTATTTCTTGCGCCCTCTGCTGATCGGTGCTTGAAACTGGTTTGGAGAGTACTTAAAAAACTTAAATATGATAAAATTTAGAACTGAATTATACTAAACGCTAGTTGAAAAAAACAGCGCAGGAATTCTCTAACAGTAAATTTCATACAAAATGACTGGAAACAAATGTGTTAAAAGTTTAGTTTCTAGCCTGGCTCATGCTTGTAATCCCAGCACTTGGGAGGCTGAGGGAGGAGGGTATCTGAATTCGAGGCCATTCTGGGCTACATAGCAAGTTGAAGGTAGTGTGAAATACACAGCGAGACCCTTTCTCCCCCCCCCCCAAAAAAAAGTTAAGTTTCTAGTTAAGTAACCAGATTGATTTTTTTTTTTTTTTTTGTACTGGCGATTGAATTCACAACCTTGGATTTGCCAGGCAGGCGCTTATGCCACTAACCTAAATCCCTGGCACCAGATTCATTTCTAATGTCACTCTCCAGTAAAAGGAACCAGGACTCCTGGAAGTGACTGGGTTATGGGGAAGAAACACAGGGGCACTGTACCACTGAGCTGCCTTCCTTTATTCATGTTTAGATTTTGAGACAGGGCCTCTACATTTCTTAGGCTGGCCTCAAAACTTCCTTTTCTCCTGTTTCAGCCTTCCAAGTATTTGGGGGTACAGGCATGTGCCACAGTGACCAGCACTCCTCATTCTTTAAGTGTGGCATGTATAGTGACTTCCTTCCAAAAAGTGCAATATGGGAGGAGGATGGGAAGCTTCTTTGTTTACGGGAGTGGGGTGACTGACAAACATTGCCAGCCAGCCAACTGAGGTTAATATCTACAATGAATCAACCAGATATTGGGGCACAAGGCTGTAACTTCAGCATTGGGAGGTGAGGTAAAGGCAGGAGGCTCTCCATCAGTTCAAGACTAGCCTGGGTTCCACAGTGAGTTTAAACCAGGCCTGGACTAGTGACATAAACAAATCAATGATAAATCATGTTGATAGCATGTAACCTTAACTGACCAAAATGATACTTCTGTGTCTTCTTCCCAGTGTAATCATGAGAAAAACAGGTAAATCTCAGTTGAAGCATATTCTCCAAAATACTCGACCAGTTCTCTTCAAATCAGTCAAGTCAGCCAGTCATGGTGGCTCATGCCTGTAAACCCAGCATTCAGGAGGCTGAGGCAGGAGGATTGTTGCAAGTTCAAGACCAGCCAGGGTTACAAAGTGAGCTCAAGGCCTGTCTGAACTGCATAGCAAGATGCTGCCTCAAAAAGCCAAAAAGCAAAAACAAAAACAAATCAATCAAGTCATGAAATAAAGGGAAATCTGAGAAACAGCAATATGAGCCTGAGGGGGCATGACTACTAAAAGCAATGTGGTAGTGGGGTCTGATATAGAAGGAAACTAGCTAAAACTAAAGAAAATCTGAGTAACTCATGGGCTTTAGTTAATAATAGTGTTTGTGAATTGTAACAAACGTGCCATGCTAATGCAAGATGTTAATGATAGGAACAAACAAGGTGCACTGTCCATGGGATTTTTTTGGTACTGTATTTGCAAATTTTCTGTAAATCTTAAAATTATTCTTAAAGACTTCTTTACATAAAATCAGGTCCCAGGGCCCTACCCTCAACAGTTCCAATGGCTGATTATGTAGCAGGGGACCAGAATCTGTATGTCTTTTTTTTTTTTTTACAGAGCCCCACATGATTAGTAACCACATAATCAGGCCCACTGTTTAAGAAAATGGTGTCATCTGAGGTGGGTATTGGCTGAGCAGGGTTACCCTGCAGAAACCTTAGTCCACCTCTCATCTTACATTAGAGATGGCCCTGAGCTACCACTTGTGGTTGTGACTGCGCTCTAACTACGGGCAGGTGGGGGAGACTGGGTTACCACAAGCACTTTCAGTTCTGGGCCTGTCAAAAGGGCATCACCATAAAAGCTTCCCTTTGTTTTGACCTGTTAACTTTGAGGGTAATTTGTTATGCAGCAGTGGGTAATTAGTATACCCCTAACCTTTAACCCAGCCTCATTTCCATTTCCAAAGTTCAGCCATTTGGGTGGGACCCAAACAGCAGCTGGAAGCAGCAATCTAGTGCTTCTTATGTAGTAGTGTTCCGGCCATACTTCTGCCCAGGACTTAATTTTTTTTTTTTTTTTTGGCGGTACGGGAGATCGAACTCATGACCTTGCGCTTGCCAGGCAGGCGCTTATGCCACTGAGCTAAATCCCCGGGCCCCCTAGGACTTAATTTATGTTTTCTTATTTGACAGATACGCCAAGGGAGTCATTCTCCTTCCCATTTTACAGATTGAGAAAACTGAGGTTCAAACAGGGAATCGACTTGCCCTGGGTCACAATGATGGAAGAGAGGCCAGGGCACAAACTAGGTGCCTAAGACTCCTGAGTTCTTTTCCTTAACCAGAGTGTTCCACTGTTTCAAATGGCTACCTCTGCTTCTCTCCCTCCAAAACCTTAATTTAACTGAAGTGAGGCCAGTCTGTGTGACCGCCTGCCACTGCTGTCCGCTCCACTCGCCCTGCCAGGCCCTCAGAACCCAGCGCACACCGGTGTATGCGCCGTGCTGCTGCGATACGGTCAGCCCTCTCCTATTGTCCGAGTTAACAGCATTGCCACAGTTGCTCAGGTCCCAAATCTTGCATGGCAGCCTTGGGCTTTTCCTTTCCACCCCACCTACTCGCTGTGTAACCATGAACAGGCCTGTGGATTCTGCTTCGAAAACATATCCTGAAGCCCCGTGCTTTTGGCCTGTGCTGCTGCCCCAGACCAGGCCACCGTCATCTCACCATGGGCCTTCCTAGCTATTCTCTGGGCTTCTGACCCTGTCGCCTGCAGCCTCTGCACTGCAGCAGTCACTTTCCTGCTAGTTTCCCACAGTGGTCTGTGTTTTGCTGGGCCAGATCCCGCCCTCCCCTGGCTGCCCCCCTAACCTCCATCACCTCTTGCTCACTAGGACTTGGCCCTTTTTATTGTCTTCATTGTGTTTGTAGCCAACACAGTGGTCTTCCCTACTCAATGGCCACTGCTGCTGTTTCCTCTCTTCCTGGCTGAAGGGATCCCAGCTTTGCTCAGGGAGCAACAAACTTGAAGGGACATACTAGTTTTCCTCTGCCCTAGAGATCAATCTTGAAGGGTCAGGACAACTGGCTGTTTCCTTCCCACTGCTGGGACAGTGTAGAGCCGAGCTCAGACTGCCATCCTGACTGATGAGACCGAAGGGACAATTGCTAGGGGCTGCTGCAGGTCTCCCTGACTCTTCAAAAGGAGGACAGGAGAGGCAGCCGCGCTCTTCCTTCCCCTCTGCAGGCTAGGGCTGTGTGCAGGTGCTGTTCTTGCCTCAGTGGCAGCCTGGGTACCCTGCCAGCTCCTGCAGGGGTCCTTCACTTCGGGGCTGAGCTCTGATGTCCTGTTGACTCAAGCCTATCCTGAATCTTCCGTTAAGATGTCTGAAAGCACACCTCGTCACAATCTAAAATCACTTTGCACGTTTATTAGCATATTCCTGCTCCTAAAAAAAAGCACTGTGAGGAAAGGGCTTTGCCCCTCCTGCTTCACTGCTCCCTGATGTGTGGGGAGGGAACTGTCTACCTGGTACACAGCAGGCGCTAAATGAATGTGTGCTGACTGAATGCCAGGTGGCCACGCCCTCTGGGGCAGGCAGCAGCCTCACTTCCTGGCCTGGCAGGTGGCTGTGGCTCAGAATCTCTGCAGGATCCACAGGCTGGGAATTGAAAAGGCAGCTGCTCAAGAACCCAATTTAATAAGGTTTTCACACAGACACGTACAAAAACACACCTAACAATGTACAAGTCCTCAAGGGATGGGGACTGGATCCAGAAAGCAGACGCCCTTCCTGGAGGCAGGGCCCCAGATGCTGGAGGTCTCGGGGCATCTCCCCACTGGTTCTCTGCATCCTGGCCGTAATTAACCAAGTTAAGAATCCATGCCGAGGCTCACAGGGAGAGACTCTTAACCTCAAGGGAATAGAACATCTGGCCCCACCTATCAGGGACTCAGCAGCTGACTGATGAGGGGTCCTCTGCCTGTTTGTGGCTAAGTAACCACAAGTTTGCTAGGGAAACTGGCCAATAGTAGATAGGAAGTGTGGAGAGGTCCAGGGAGGCAGAGCAGTGCTACAGGTCCTGTCCAGACCAGCTGCCCACAGGGAGTCACCACTGCAGGGGGCTAATGTCAGCACCCAGCTCCTCCTCCTCCTCCTCTTCTTCCTCCTTCAGTGGGAAGGGCTTTGCTGGCCACTTCACCCTGAGGACAGGCTCCGAGTGCTCCTGCAGGCGGTGTCGCTTCATGTGAGCATTGCGGCTCTTGATCTTGTCAAACACCCTGAGGAGATGCCAGAGAAGTAGGGGTCAGGGTCGGGGGAGAGGCCAGGGTGGTACAGCACCCTAGGGATGAGCCAGGTACCTCTCGCACTCTCTGCACGGAAAAACGCCCTGGCTCTCCACACTCCCTGGTGGCTCAGGGGTCCGCTTGGGGCCCACACTTGGGCTGGA